CTTTATCTCTTCTTGCTGCTGGCCCTCACCCTCCCTGCGGGGCAGGAAAATGGGTCCAAAGTCCTGAGCCGTCGTCTTCAAGGGCTAAAGTACTTTTCAGGCACACGGAGGAGCTGAGCTGCCACCAGCCTGGGCTCTCATCCCTGGCGCGGGCAGCAATTCCCAGGGACGGAGATGGGTTCGGAACGGGGCAGACTCTGGGGCCGTGATGGCTCTGTCCTCTTGAGCGATGCTCTGTCCTCTTGAGCGATGCTCCGGCTCTCCCAAAGTCAGCTGGGGAAAGCTCGGAGGCACCGGCAGAGCTGGACCATCCCGTGCCCGCTGCGGGAGGGATGCAGCCGTGCCCCTCGTGCTCTGGTCCTCGATGCCGTGCGGCTTTAGCATCGCTGTTGGGGGACGGGACTCCAGCACCGTTTCACTTGAACATGACTTTTTGCTGTAGCCAGGGTGAGAGCGTTCCCTAGAGCACATGGAGAATGCTGCTTTTCCTTCACCCCTCCCTTATTTTTGGAGTATTATTGTGGTTTTCAGTTTCTTTGTTTAGAGAAGAAAACTGATCTCTCTTTTGGCCTTGTTTCTGTGCTATGACGTGTTACCTTCCGCTCAACATGACGACTAAAACTATAACGAGACAATCAATGTGATCTCTGTAAGGGCTTCTCCATTTCTTCTCTGCGACACCATGCTTTATATATGTGTGTTCTTTGCTCTTAGCGAGGATCTTTTTCTCCCCTCCCCTTGTGTCTTATTAAAAATAATAATAATAATAATAATGATGGAGGGAAACGAGGTTTCAGCAGCGCATCCGTGGTCTGGGAGCAGATGGGAGGAAACATGGGGTGGGGTGGGAAGGGGGACGTGCGGCCAGTTTCCTTGCAGGTACCAGTCTTGTTCTCCTTTAACGCTGTATTGTATACATTTGACAGCACAGCTTGACAATTTAAGTAATAATCAAAGTGTTTGGTAATAATGCATTATTTTGCTAAACGAGATTTGTGATGGTTTCCCTAGTGCATTGTAAAGAGGGATGGAGGGAAACTTCCGCTGCCCTGCCCGCTCCCCCCCGGCCCCTCATGGGGCGGCGGACGGGGGCTCCCCCAAATCTTCTTCCCATGGACCTTTTATGCCAAAGTTGGACCATTCCCACTTAGCGTTCTGCCGGCGCCCGGCAGCCGTTTGGTGAAGCTCTCGCCAAGCGACGACTTTTTCGGCTTCCCCC